ACTAGCTCACAAAACATGTAAATAAGAATTAAACAGTTTATCCAACTGGCATGTGAAATGGTCGTATTTCGGGGTGGAAAGTCATCGTTTTAAAAATCCAGTTTTTCTCTTGAGTATGGAACAAACTGTGTCCAGCAGTTCAGCTTCTTAAATCAATACTTTTTTTGCATATTCATACATTTTTGGACTCAAAAATGAGGAAAAAGAAGACAATTTATTTAAGTTTTTGCACAAACACACCAGACTTAAATTATTATTCCAGGCAGAGCACGTTTAAGACCAGTAAATAATGTCTGGGGGGGATCTTTTAAATGACGAAACAGCAAATAAACAGCCGAACATCCTTCCCTCTGCCTCGTGCTCTTCTCCCTTCCCTTCATGTTAAAGCTATTAGAGGAGTCAAGTGATAGTGAGGGAGGCGAGAATAATACAGTGTGGAAAATGAGCTCCAGGATGTCTTGTAAAAGTTGTATGCCTCCTCCTTTTCCACACCTGTGGGGCCTCACAGTTGTTCACACAAACAGGAGGGCAGAGTGTTACTTCCACTCACAAACCAACTCAAGCACAGAGCAGCTATGTCCAATTACAGGAGGTGCAAATTAAATGTGCAAATTGCAGTGTAAAAAAAACGAAAAAAAAAAACAGAGAGTCAAATTTAAATGTGAAACTTGAAAGCAGGTTTGTGCAGAGAATGCTAATGAGGCCGTTGGAGGAGATTAATATGCCGCGTAATTGCCGGATCTCTTCTTTTCTCAAAAGCCTCTTTTTAATCAACAGTCAACTAATGACTAAAACAAGAGATGTTGGGAATAAAAAGCTGCTGGATTCAAGAAGGTGGGTGGACAGATAAGAAAATGGCACCTTCCCTGCTGTCCAATTAAAAGAAAGCATGTTTTTGACTCTGAGAGACAGGATGCAAGAGTTTCAGCAAGGCTGCAGATTCAGTCCTCCCTCCAGACAACGGCTTAACAACAGCTCAGACACAATAAATGTCCGTGTTTGATACAGGCCCTCCATCCAGTGCCAAGCATCCTTATATCATTGAAGAGATTCTCTGCCATGATTGCACCTCTGAGCGGGAGGGTCACACAGCTATGTTTGCAGGTCTCACAGATCTTTTTGGGAACAATTTTGGAGATCTGTTTACACTTTTCACTGTTCCCAACACTGCAGTGGCAGACTTTATTTAATACCAGCCTTAGAAGCTGACAAATCACCTTGAGCGGACAAAAAAATGTCGACTTACACTTTTACAGAATATAATAAAGTGGGCTGAGCCATGTTGTTCAGGCTAGAGCGCTGATGGAAAAGATCTGTGTTCTCTTTTTGAAGCTGTTCCTTAATTTTGTGTCTGTTTTGGCGCCCCCTGTGGGCAATGCTAGAGGTGCAATATTACAAAAAAACACTCCTTTGGTACATCATTTGAGCATTTTTTGGAAAGGTTTTAGCATTAAAAAAAGAGTGCAAAGACTCTTTACAATGTTTATGTATATATATTTATACACACACACACACACACACATATACTCACATTTTAAATCTCGTTTGAGCAACATGTTTTTTACATAAAAAAGTCTGAACAAGGAGAAAAATAATGAAAAGAACAATTTATAACCTAGAGGGGCATCTTACATACAATGAGGTTAATTTGCAACGAGTTAAAGGGGTATTCCGGCATAAATTTAAGTTATGGTTAAACACACTGTAACACCAAGTTAGACACCCCGAGACGGAGACGCTAAGGCAGAACTACCACGTCTGCAGTGCACATACAAGATACACAAGAACTCTGATCTCATTTCCATGAAGTAATAATCATTCTTGTTCTTCCTTGAGCTGCAAAACTCTGCAGCACTCAGTGATAGACTTGTCAGGGCTCCCCCACAAACAAGAAGCTGCTAGAGAAGAGAAGGTGAGTTGTGAAAAGTCTGCTAAAGAAATCAGGCGAAGCTGAAAAGATGTTTAATGCCTAGTGCTAGACCCTATATGTACTGTTGATGAAGTTAGGTGCTGTTCTGAGCAATATTTGTGGCTATAGAGTGGCATTTTGGTTGAGGTTTACGCGTGCTGTGCATTGCTATCGCACGGTCATTATTAAAGTTGGTATAACTAGATAAGCAAGCAGTCGGCAACATTCATTTCAAGAGGATGTCTAACTCTGTGTTATGGTGTGCTTAACTATAACCTAAATTCACGCTGGAATATTCCCTTTAATGACAAAAACAGGCAAAAAGGGGTTAACTTAGAGAGTCAGAGTCTCTCAGAAGATGCCACTCTGTGAGAGACTGTGTGAGAAAATACAGCAATTGAAATTTCCAGACAGCTGTTTCGTAGCATAAAATTACTTAAGGTCGAGACAATTTGGGAGAAATCTTGGTACAAAAGGGACAAGGTCAAAAGCCAATACTGAATGACTGTGACAGGTGGAAAAGACCTGGCTCTAGAGTGGAAATCACTGCATATAGGCTTAAAACCGTTTCTGAAAACGACTGTCTATGAACACAGTTCCGACAACTGATGCAGGTTGAATCTGTATATAATGTTGAAACAACTTTACCGCCTCAGTTTGTGTGAGATGGTCATTGTGGGAAAATGGTTTGACATATCCAAATGTGACATTCTTACTGAATTTTTGTTGACCAAACGTAGGCTACTTTGGTATGGCTACAATGGCACTAAAACTAGACTATAAGATTTTGGCTTGTTATGGACTAAACTGGACTAGATTTTTTTCATGATTAATGTTAATCAAACTATTAACAAGTGGGAAACATCTTCTACAGGCCGTGGTGGAGGAAGTTCTCTGGCCTGACAGAGACGTAAAGCTGAGGCTGAATATAAAACTCACATTTGTACTCTGTGTAATGCGTAAACTGTAAAAATGGCTCCTACACATAGTTGCTGATTCACAACTTTAATGAGTCTCATGGGTTGTTTCTGAAATGAAGTCAACATTAAGGTACAACTCATGTAAGGGGACCTGCTGCATTAAAAAGCATCCAAATACAGGTTTTTATTCCTGATGTAAATGCTCATCTATTTATACATTTCCTCATCAACACCTCAGCTTCTCCCACCCACTCTGGGTTACCACTAAAAGGGCCAGAGAGATTGAAAAGCCAAACTCATGAAGGTATCGATGGAGAAAACACCTCTAATTGTTGAGAAAGATATGAAAATGTGTAGATTAGATGGATCTTCTTACTGGTATAAACGGAAACATTGCATACAGGAGCAGAGCTTGTTGTTTCTGGAGCATAAATTCTTCTCTTTTTTTCCTCTTTTTCTGCCTAATTGATCAGCGTCCGGCTCTAATTATTCCCTGATAACCTCTCCACTGTGTTTAGTTACCGACCGCCCTCTCTTCAGTGCCAGTTAATCTTTGTATTAAATGCCAGCTGTTCAGGCCATTCTCAGTGTTTGGCCTCTGGTCTTTGGCTTTTCATACTCTTTTGGTCTCTACTTGTTTTTGGGCCTTTTTATTTTCTGCCTGCCCCCTGGGTTTGTTTGCTTGCATTGGCCTCATTTTGTGGTTTTGACCCATGCCTTCCCATTAACTGTAAGCCATGTGTTTTACGCCCTTTTCTAAATTGATTTTTTACTCCACTGGCTTTGTCTCCACGGTCGGAATTTAGGTACACCTCCCATGGTTTCTTTCTTTTTTTGGCCCTTCTCTCTTTCCTTTTTTTATTGATATCTGCCAAGTTGGTATCATGACAGCGTACATCACATTCAAACACAAAATGTTGAAGTAAATACTGTACTTAGATATTTATCAAATCATTGCCAATGTGGTAACACAAACCAGAAAAGTACTTGAGAAAATCTTATCAACAGGTGCACAGGAGAGAGGAAACACACACTGGAAGACTTTCTACAAAAATATAAGTTTTCTTGCTGCTGCTTCTCCTGGACTACACAGTCCAGTTGCCTGATTTTGGAGTCTTCAAGTTTTTCTGAACTAAACTTCACAGAAAACTTCAACCCCCCCCCCAAATCTGAAAGGTCTTGGCACACCCCTGCTTGTTAGGATGTAACTCACCCTGAGCATGTTATTTGCTGAGCTGAAAGCTGACCAGGTTTGAATCAGCAAGCTTTCAGCGCACTTTCTACACTGCCGGCGGGCACAAAAATGTCACTGCGCCAGCTGATTCTGTCGACACCTCCCCCTGCCATGCCACCACGCCCAGCTTGGCGGACTTCGGTGCGCCTCAGTCTAAAATACCAAACTGGCTTTACGCCGGGCTCCGCCAGACAAAAATACCACCGCGCAGGGTCCGCCACCCTCCGCCGCCTCACCGGCGGGCACGAAAATAGAGCCCATGGAGTCAACCCGAGGTAGAATTAAGACCAAGTTCATGTGGCTCACCCATCAGTAAAAAGTAGTGGCATGCTTTAAATGTGTCAGCCAGAATATTAATACAAAAAGTTGTTTCTTGATGGTCAAAGTCTAAAACAAATTTCAGTTTTTAGCAATTTCATCAGTTTTCGTAAGTTTGTGGGCATGATGCTCCGAATAACAGCAGATTTTTCTAACAACGCAGTTGCACAATTGTTGTGTTGATCCTAAAATGCACCAAAACTCAAACTCTGCTTATGTTTACATTTTTCCACATAATTAGATTATTTCATGCCAACAGCTAACATAACACATCCCCTTTAATATCCATTTAACCAGACATGATGCATTTGTTAACTCATTAGCACCTGCTGACAAGTTGTGAAGAGGTGTTTAAGGGCTGTTTAGCACTGTGTTTTGTTAATGACATAATACTAGAGTGGTCTTGACCAGAGGTCACTTTATTTTAAATTCTGTTTAGCTTAATATAAATGAGTGAATTTAAAATGTGCTTTTAGATACATTTGTTTTGAACTTGTTTTGAATGAGATTAATTTTCTTTCAGGGGCGGTTCTGCTGTACTTTCAAAGATGAATTACAGCAAAATATGAAGAAAAAACACAGATGCATGGGGGAAAATGGAGAAAAAAGTTTTATATTCTTTTAAATGAGTTTTTTTTTTGTGTGTGTGTGTGTGTGGGATTTGGTCTCTGTTGATTTCTGCCCGTTGAATTTTTTCGTGTCTGGTTTTCAGAGCAATCATCCACATCTATTGAAGAGCTTGTACTTGGTTTGTGGTTTTAAATTCAGTCTTTTAGAGCTGAAGCAGAAAAACAAGTAGGTAAAAATAAATAGATAGTAAAGAAGGAAAAAACATGCATGTGTACCTCTCTGACTATCACCCTACTCTGCTGCAGGATCCTGTGCCACAGCTTATTTTATTCATCCGGCTGTAAAACTGTTGAGGGTGGAGATTGTATTTTTTGTTGCTGGTTTTACAGAGTCAGATCTTCTTTATTGATCCATTCAAACCCCGGGCATGTGCAGCAGTCAGTGTTTGAGTATGATGATGTCACTGCTGTTCGGCTGATTACTGTCTGGATTATTGCTTTGCAGGGCGTCTCGTTTTACAGTGGTTAATTTGTAGGAACAGTGTGCAGTAATCCAGGCACAGGTGGTTTATGTAGATTCTTCCTCCAGCGTTCAGGGCGGCTGCTGAAGCATCTGTGAGTCAAAGACGAATCTTTTTTTCCTGTTGTTAGGAGAGGCTCTGGTTTCTGCAACTTTGATTTCATACTGAAAAAAAATAAATAAATAAAAATAAAAAAAAAAGTGTTATGAATCGTACAAAGGCCAGGAGCCAAAAATGCAGAGGCAAATGCCCAAATTTATTGACAATAAACAATAGATCAAGGTGAACAACAGAAAATCGCTGTTTCCGGGAAAAGGCACGGTGAGCTCGGACTGCCACTAAAAAAAATACGAAACCAGGGTTAGGAGATAGTCACTGCAGCAAGACAAAATAGCTGGTGAAAAAACAAAGTTCAAATGATAGTGCCACGTGGGGCAAGTAACAACTAAGGATGTAAAAAGATAAAGTACAACAGAAATATTAAACCAAAAAATCTTCTCAACTGGAGGTAAAAACTCGAACACAAAATCACCTTTGCTCAAGGGTAAAACTCTGAAAAGTAAAAAAGGAACTCACAAACAAACACTGAGATAGGCTGGATACATGTGTGGGAGATCAGGGAGCTTGGCGTGGCAAGACACGTGTTGCATGACTGGGAAATCATCCGGCACTGAGTTGACAGAGGAGCTGGCATATAAGGCCAGGTAATTGACACCAACGAGGATCAGGTGCGTGCAATCAGTCCGGGCCAGCCCCGCCTCCCGCCGTGTCTCCAGCTCTACAGAGAGAGACAGAGAGAGAGAGAGAGGGAGAACACACACAGAGGAGAGGAGCACAGGAATCCCAACTGCTGCATAATTCAAAATCCTCACAATAGGTATATACTCTGTTTTGATTGACAGAAAGAGCAAATACATGATCCCCTCGCCATGTATCATCCAACAGCTCCAAAAACAACCTTCAAAAAGTAAATATGTCAAAGCTCCAGTAAGGATTTTTTTAAAGGTTGATTAAAAAGACTGAAATTAATGTTGGATGCCTTTTTGTGATATCCAAAAGAAAATAGGACCATCAGTGTCAAGTTGGATGATTGTTTGATCCACAATTTTAAAGCCTGAAACTGATATATAAGGGGGTAGGTGTCAGCTAACCAGCTGCCCCATTTTCATGTAAAATATTCACAATAAATAAAACATTTGACTGTCAAAAATCGTAATTTAAGCATGTAGAAGACAAGATGAGTGATGTCTACAGGGGGTGCCAAAATTGAATGTCCCTCACAGGAGCTTTAAATGAATAAACAGTGCCATATTTTGGACAGAACAAGGTTATAGTACTGCAACAATTTAATGCACTGATAAAATTTATTCTTAAGATATTTGGTCATTAAGTTTGAGCACATTTATGATCGTACAATTTGATATATTTTATAATGAAAGGGTACAATGATAGCTGCCTGTTTTGATTATACAGTGTTGGAAAAAGTTTGGAATATTTGTCAATTCAACCCCAGCCTCGTGTTTAACGCGGTCTGCTGCTTTCTGGAGAATTATTCAAAGACTTTTTAATGTTCCCTGGTCTCTGTGATATGTTTTTGAAATTCACATCAAACTATTTTGTTTCTCAAAAAATTGTAGGGCGGACACCTCATGATTCACAAAAAGCCATAGAAATAACGCATAAAATCATGAGTCGGTATTTAATAAATAAACGGCTGTAATTTTAAATTGCCACAAAATACGTGGACCATCTTTGAAAGCAACATCAAACATAACAAGACGATAACAACAATACAGTCAGTACTTTGTGTGACCGCCTCTAGCATTGTACAATGCGCGTACATGTCTGGGCATGCTGGTCACTAGGTTGGTAAGAGTTTCAACCGGGATTTCTCGCCAGCATTGGATCACAGCCTGAGTCAGTTCAGCCACGTTTGTCGGAGGATCAGTCACGTTACACGAAACACTGAAGAAAATATTCCAAACTTTTTTCCAACACTTAAGTGTGGTAATATGATATTGAATCCTGACATGGGTGGACAAGACGCGTTTGTATTTAATTGAATGACTACCCATGTACTATACATGACCACCAACTAAAGACAAAACAAGCTACAAACTAAGTATTGATTAAAGATGATTTTCTTGAATTCATGGTTAAGTCTGAATACCAGCCTGCTTTGCTGTTATAAATCACATTTAAATTAACAGCAATTAATTTGCTTTAAAAAGGAGTCTGGGTTGAATTTGATTTCAGCAGCCAGAGTCAAACAGTCTTGCTAACTTAAGTAAGATTTGGCTCTGATTTCTGTTTATCAAAGCTGAGCCAGCTCCTTTTGAATCCCTGCCCAAGCTCATGATTGGGCTCATCATTTCTTAAAGGGATATTCCGGCGTAAAATTAACTTAAGGTCAAACACACTGTAACACTAAGTTAGACAGCCCCTCAAGAAAGATGAATGTTGCTGACCACTTGCTTCTCTAGTTATACCAACTCGATTAACAACCGCACCATAGCAATACACAGCGGTCTGAGGAGTCATAAACAAACCTCAACCAGAATGCCACTCTATAGCCACAAATGATGCTCAGAACAGCACCTAACTTCATCAACAGTACATACAGGGTCCCAGCCATAGTACTAGCCACCAAACATCTTTTTAACTTTGCCTAATTTCTTTAGCAAGGAGACTAAACACAACTCACCTACTCTCTTCCAGCAGCCGTTTGTTTGTTGCGAGACCTCAGGCCAGTCCATTATGGATTACAGCGGGTTGACGCAGCTCAAGGAAGAACATTTATGATCATTTCTTTACCATTTCCTTGAAGTAATAATCACCATATTAATCATTTTGCACTTCAGATATGGTAGTTCTTCTGCCTTGGCATCTCGGTCTGATAGCATTTCCATGAAGTAATGTGCGTCTACTCAGACCGCTGTGTATTGCTATCCTGCAGTTGTTACTAAAGTTGGTATAATTAGAGAAGCAAGCGGTCGGCAACATTCATCTATCGAGGGGGTGTCTAACTCGGTGTTATGGTGTTTTTGACCCTAAATTAATTTTAAGCCAGAATATCCCTTTAAAGGGCATGTTCTGAAATTAAACATGGACATGACAAGAAATTTAAAGTTTATTTGTTTCAGAGATGATCGAAAGTGTGCTCTCAGTTTTGCTTGTAGGTTATCGATCAGTTTCATCATTCCCAGTAGTTTTTTGTTGGAACTTGTTCCCTCACTTTCGTTCCCCTTTATTTCTCTGCAGCAACATGTTACACCTCAATCTCCTCTCTACCCTCCCACATAGTCTTCTTCATTCCCCCTAACATCTTCCCTCTCATTCTAGTCTCCCAATGCCATGGATCCTCGAGCCTCCACCTGCCACCTTCCTCTTTCATGCCGCAGATCGGTGCAGCTGGCTGTCACGATGTGAAGCTTGTTGCGCCGACACTCCCAGGTATGGCCTCCTTTTTATGATGACACAATGTCGCAGCGATGAGTTACGCTATCAAACAGCGATTTGATGTCACGGCTGTCAGCGTTTCACTTTAGCGATGCAGGAGGCGGCTGCCGTATCCCCACAGGGAATGCGCTACCTGACAAACTAATGAGCGTCGCGCATCCGCCAAGTCGTCACTGAAATTTTTTAACATGAGAAGCCTGTGTGAAAGTCCTCTCTACCCTGACAAAACTTGAAACATTCACCCATAAAGCCTGTGCTTAAACTCTGTGATATTTTACTTTAGCTTCTTATTGTTAAAACAAAAGCCAACATAATTCCATTCTTTTATAAGATAAGCACCAAAAATGAAAGCATTCAGAGTAATTAAAAGGATGATATAAAGACAAAAATGTCACAGAGTGTGTTAGAGCAGCAGCACCTCCTGTAATTCAATTAACACATTCCCACGTGTCTGGATCAGCCTCATGATGGCACTTGTGATGCTTAGAATAATCTATTCTACTTAATGTGGGAGACAAAACTGACTTTTTTATGTGTTAGGTGAGTAAGTGCAGAATAAAACAATCCAAAATTATAGTTTTTTTACATCCACGCACATTCTTACCTTCATGCATGACGGAGTATTAGGGCCACATTAAGAAAAAAAAAACGCAAGACTTCGTAATTACTTACAAATAAAGTCATAATAAAGAAGTAGTTACTTACAAGAATAAAGTATAATAAAATAATTACTTACAAGAATAAAGTCGTAGCTAATAGCTATTCCAACCTGTTGTTAATTGTTTAAATGAGTGCTGTGGAGCATTTAGATGAATTGAATTTCAGTAGCTTTGTTTCACAAACAAGGAGATACTAAATCCTTTGGCTTTTCAGCATCACGTTGTCATAAGTATCAGGACATATGTAAGAAATGCATCTTTTCCGCAGAAAGAACTTGTAGGGAATCGCTGTTTTTGAGGAGGGGGAAATGTCTGTGCAGAGGCTAAATCCTTCAATGCAGCCGTTTAGAGCAATAGCATATGGCTTTAGTTTATCATAAGAATCTATATTCCGTAAGGTGTTGGTGCCTTTGCAGGTGTAGGTTGCTGCCGGTGTTGTGCCGGCATCAGAGACAGATGCAGTGCTCGTCGGAGCTCGACTCTGAATCACAAATGTTGATTATCAGTTGGATTGTCTCTTGAGAAACCACAAAAGCCCTCTGAATGGCCCAGTGATGCACCCACTGATAACTCTGCAGTTGACCAGTTCGGACATTCCCTCCTCCACAAATGCAGCTTTAAGACTTCATTTACTTTATGACTTTATTCTTGTAAGTAATGATTTTACTTCGACTTTATTCCTGTTAGTAATGATTTTCCTACGACCTTATTCTCATTAGTAATGACTGTAATCTCGAAGTCTTAATTTTTTTTCTTAATGTGGCCCTAACACTCTGTCGTATCCATTCAAGTCACCAACATTATTAAAAAGTTCAAGACGCTTGTGAAAAATATACCCCATAGCTCTGCTTGTAAAGTGCCTCATTAATCAAGACATGCACAGCAGTATTTTGAGTATTTTGGTGTTTTTGGCTCAGAGAGGTACACAATGATACAGACATCAGGCTTTCCAGGGCTGAAGGCCCTGACAGAAAATCCTATCGAAGTGTGTTGTGGGAATATTAGGATCCAGTGTTTTTGAAGCTTAACAGATAGTTGAAGTCAGAAAACCCTCTGCTGCATCAATTTTTATGATCCCTTTTTGAAACGGTGTCTTTCGTTGTAGGTTACTCAACTTTGTTTGAGTGCAACACTGAGGCAATCGAGCTGAATTCAAGTGTTATACAGGATTTCATTACATGGGTCTTTAACTGATCAACTCACTGAGTTAAAGCTACCATAAGGACTTTGTTGACATGAATTAAATAGACTAAAACTCTCATTGTGCATTTCATGATGTACAAAAGCAAACAAGACCACCAGCAGTAACATTAGGGCTTTTCCTATCATCATATTTAATGTTCGGAGCTGGTGTGAGGGGATAGGTATCAGCCAGGGAGCCCTATTTTTAGAAGTCCAACATAAAAGATATGAATAAAAATTGACATATTTGACTGTGGTAAGTCACCAGGGTGAGTTTTTTTTCTTTCTTTTTTTCTGTAAAAAGATGCTATTTATGTTCATTGAAGAAAGGGACAACTCTGAAGCAGATGTGTATCATTAGTGGGAGTGAAACCATGGAACTGTCAAAGTAATGAATTGAAGACCTGTACAAATTTTTAACAAGCCAAGAAAATGTTAAAGGAAAATGCAATTACAA